ATAAGTTACTAGTTGATTATTGATAACCTTAAGAATTAGACTAATGATTAGGTAGTTTAGTTGATAACAGTAGGTTATTAGTAGAATAAATGGTTAAGAATTCAAAGAGTCATAACCTTTGGAATCCACTCGTCGACGGATCATCTTTTTGATAGGATAAAGAGGTTGAAAAAAGAGAGATCGGAGCCAGACTATAAGAGTTGTAAGCCAAGATATTAAATTTTGTGTGATGAATTGAGAAACTAAATATAATAGGTAAGCAGGAGATCAGTAATTGAATATATATAAACCACAAAGAAAGTAAGTGGAAGATGAACGGATAAGAATATGGAAGTATTATTGAATTGATAGTCGTAGGATGGATTATGGGTTGAATTAAGAGGGAAGTAATAAGCCTTAGTATTTTATAGTTTAATAATTGATTTCAGATAGCCAGAGTATAGTCAATTGTGACACTAACAAACCCAATTCATATAACTAGTCTTTCTCCGTGTTTGAACCTACCTCTATTAGTTCAATTGCTTTCGTATATTGAAGCTTGAACACAACGAGAACAACAATAACAAACAACAAAACCATCCAAAAACTCACAAAAAATATCATTCATAAGATGTTGAAAAACTGCTCGTGTATTTATAAGTCCAAAAGGCATGACATTGTATTCTAAATGTCCGTACTTGGTTCAAAATGTAGACTTACATTCATCTCTTTCTTTGATGCGTACCAAACTACATGCTTCTTTTATATCTATTTTATATAGATTTTAGCTTGATTCAATGGATTAAGAAGCCTAGATATTAAAGGTAGTAGGTACCTATTCTTAATGGTGATCTTATTGAGTTCTCGATAATCAATACACATCCACAATGATCCATCTTTTTTTTCATAAATAGAATTGGATCTCTTGCTAGAGATTTGGAATGGTCTATGATATTCTTGCCTAGATTTTCTTTAATATACTCCTCTAATTTGGCCAACTCATTTTGTGATAAATTGTAAATTGGTACAAATGGTAGTTGTGCTCCTTCTTGAAGGTCAATTGAATAGTTATAAGGATGATATTTTGGAAGAGTATCTACATTCTTTTTTTCAAATATATCTTGATATTTTTGTTATTTGCCTTCAATGCCACTTGAAGTCTTTGCACCATTAGAAACAGGTGTGGCATAAATGATACAAGGTGATCCTTCTTTTGTAGCATACAAGAAAGCTCTTGTACCTATAAACATAGGTTTAATTGTACTAGATTTGTGATTTTTTACTTGATTAACTGCATTCTTAGTTATACTTTTAAAAAAGTTAAGAATACAAGAAATCCAATATACTCAAGGATTGTATTTTTTTAACCAGGATAAAATGATTGAATTAGAGGAAGATCTAATGATATTATATATCACAAAGCTATTATAATCATTGATTATTACTTCTATAGGAAGGGTTTTGTGAATAATATCTCTAGAAGACAACGGACAACCATCTATGATTTCTACATGAACATATTTATTTTTCCTTATTAAAGATATTTTAAGACTTTTAATAAATTCTTCATTTAAGAAACATATCGAGACTCTTGAATTTAACAAGGTAGAGGCTTTGTAATGTATATGTCCTAAAATAATGTTTAATATAAAACAAGAAGAGGGTTCTAAAGAGAGAATAAGACTTTCATTAGATATTGTATAAGGTTCCAGCCACATAATCCCTATTGTAGTAGGAAAAAATTGTTTTTTGATACATTGTCTTCTTTGACATTCATACTCTTCATTTTATAATTCTGTTGTTTTTTTGGATAATATTGAATAATGAATTTAGGTTCTCCTCAATATAAGCACAATCCTCCCTCACGACAAGGAGTCTTTTCTTACTCACTAAGAAGTTTGAAACATACCTCATCAATCTACACATCATCTACTTCTGAATGTATGTATTGAGGAGGCATTGGTATTATCATTGAGTTATAGTAACGTTGATGCCTATTTGTCCAACTCTCAGATCAAAATTTGAAAATTCAATTGACATACTTTTTAGCAAAGTCAATTGTTTGACTCAATGTTTGAAGATCATGTAAGTTAAGCATCAAATTCTTTACATTATATTGTAATCCATAGAAAAATTGGCTAATAAGTACAACATCATTCCACTTGATATCAGTTATAAGTTGTCAAAATTATAAAGCATATAATGTTACGGATCGATTGCCTTTATGTAAAATATGGATCTTGTTGGTTGTAATATGAGTTGCAACATGTTCTCCATATATGAATTGAAACTCTACTAAAAAAGCTTCTAAATTATCAAATATTGGATCTTGTCATTTAAAAAAAGATAAAAATCACAATAATGTTGAACTTGAAAAAAGTGTATCAATGAATCTAACTTGTGATTGTGGAATTGGATAGCTTTGGAGTTGAAGTTCAATCACAAGTTGTATTTGATTGATAAATCCTTGAAACTTGGATCTTGTACCATCAAACTTCTTAAGCATGACAATTCTTGGTTCTTTAGTAGCAAAAGGATGTTCCATCATAAGAAAAGGGACATGATTGGATATAGATGTTGAAGTAGCTCCAATCATATCTATATCTTAACTTCTTCCCATTTTTGTTGCTCTTTGTGGTCATAAACCGAGTTGATGCATCACAAGTATTAACTCACTCAATTTTTCTTGCATTTGTACCATTGCACTCTTTATTTCATGAAGCTCTGTCATGACAATACTTAGAAAATAAATGTCTAATATTGCTCAAGATAAGTAGAAGAAGGGACTTGAGAATAAAGAAGTTACTAAGAACAATATTAGTTTAGAAGAAGGTAATCCATAACTTCTAATACACTTATGTTTTATGAAGAAAAGGGGATAATCCACTCTTAATCAAGAGAAGACAAAGCTCTAATTTTGTAAGTGTATACTTGTCCATTTGTCAAGGACATGAATTGAAAGAAAATACATAAACTTAAAAAATCTGTTTCAAAAAAAAAAAACAAAATAGAAATAAAGAAGTTTGTATAATAAATAGAAACTGGAATGGCTATTGCCAAAAGACAAGGAAATTAGAGACTCTTAAATCTAGATTAAAAGCAAGAAAGAAGTTGACAAGAGTAAAGATGGCTTCACTCTTGCTTCTATATATACTATCTATCTAGGAGCTATGTGGCGATGTTCTATAAGACCTCTAATATGTGTTGATTTTGTAAGACACATGTCTTAGTTTACAAGGCAAGTTTTCTATGTGTATGCTACATAGTTAGCTTGTTCTTCAAGCTACCAACATGTGTGGCACATGGCCAACTTGTTGACCACATTCCTAACCTAATAAATCAATTATATATACCTATAAAGTCAAAGCAATATCTATGAAGCTTCTAAGAAACTACTATAGAAGATATTTGGAATTAATCTATTTTTACCTACTTTTATCATATCATATAGGTAATTATTGGTTTATATGTGTATGTGTGTGATAGTATATTGTTAATTGCCTTAAGTTCACCACTCATTAATTTGGATTCTTCTCCAATAGACTTAGATTAATAGTAGAGGTATTATAACCTCATCTTAATATATTTTGGATTCAAAAAGATTTATTGGCTAAATAGTTTGAATGAAAGATTAAAATAGAGTTCTATTCTAGCAAGCTAAAATACTTTGCTTTATGCTTATGTCTTAATAGAAGCTTGTATATTTGTACAAATTGATATAATTTGTACTCAAGTATATACAAGCTAAATTTATGCTTAAATAAGGTGCCATAACTCCTTCATCTTGTCACTACTTTGTTTGATATCCACAACCATTATTTGATGTTCGCAATTATTGCTTGATATCCCCAACCACGCTCCTTGTCATCTTGTCTACTTCAAATGCTTGCAATTTGCTGCTCATAAGATCTGCTACTTTCTCCCTGTATATAGAAGAAATCAGCATAATACCTACTGGCACAATCTGTGACAGTTGGCTACACCGTATGTAGTATTTCAAAAACAATCATTTCAAAAAAATGATAAACTTTCTTTTGAATAAGGTTTAGTTTCATGAAATAAAATAGTATCACCTGTGATGACAGTGTGCAAGTTTATTGCTATTCAGCCACTATACAACATGTAAATGTATAATATTTATGCATTGTTATCATCGAATGTCAACAGAATGTGAACTTGAATGATGACATTGAATGTCCTCAAATGTGAATTCAACAAGAATAGGTATATATTATTAAAATAACCAATTAAGATATGTGAGGTTGCCAAAGAAGCAATCTAAAATTATTTACGTTAAAAATGAAAAAAAATTGACATTGTAGAATATAGAATAATGATTCTAAGGTTGGCAGCATGCAGGCACAGTGTGTACTTGTTACCACCGAGAATTCAATAACCACCTCCGCCTTCTAAGTTTGCGGCAGAGTATCGTTGTTCCTTTCACAATGAAATAGTCCAAAGATGACACAATGATGCACAAACAGACGTTCTGTATCGTGCAGTAGAAGTGCGCCAGCAGTCTTCGAGGAGGGAGCAATCAGGTTGATGGTGAATAATTCTCTGGTATCTCAGGCTTGATGAAAGTGGCAGCTGGGATGCCGCAATTAGAGTCTATTGCTAAGAGCAGCTACTTGGCAACTTTTGGGGAAATGTTTGGGAAAATGAAATCCAGCAAGAGTCGCGAATAAGATACCTGAAAATCAAAGAGGTTTATTTCTACTTTCTGGAAGCTACTCGTGATAAGTGCAAAAGGAAGTTCTATCTCTGAATTAGCCTTGAAGCAACCTCATAATTTTAGTTATGTATTTGATTGTTTCTTTAGAAGTAGGAGATTTAAATCTGTGAATTTTTGTGGACTTCTGAATGTCGAAGGAGTGAGAATGCATGCATTTGGACACCACAAAAGTGGTAACGATAACAGTAAACCTCAGCAATGGCAACAACCAGACCACGCGCATCTTGAATATCCCATCGTAGTGAACAGCCACTCCACTTTGAATTTGGAGATTCAGTTTCTTAATTGCTCGAACGAGATTTGTACCATAGAGTGCCATGTGCGCTCTACGTCCTTGCCACGTTTCTTTCTTAGGCTGCATTCCATTGATCCCACTCCCACTTCCCAGAATTAATAACCAGCACTTGGCTACCCCTAAAGTTACGGCCTATTCGTGGGGATAGCACTGCCCGTATTTCTGAAGAAAGTTACAGGTTGCGTAGCCAATGCCTGGAAGTCTTCGGAGTGCACGTAGTAGCGGAGGCATGACTGATGAGGTTCGCTGTAGACTGGAGAGATGTAAGGAACATTTGACTTGAATGAACTTTTGCGGCGATCCGCTTGTGAAATATTGTTTTGAGAGACGTCACTCGCACACTGTTGTTGCCGGATCCTAGGGCATTGACTTCAGTTTTCGATCTCGCAGCAGCATTGACATCATACCGAGGCCTGAATTCAGTCGATAGCGTATTAAGTGATACTGAATGATGGCTGCCTACCGTGTCCATTTGGCTGTTATGGCGAAAATGTCCAGCCATGGCGGGAATGCAAGGGCCGTAGCCGTGCCTCCGGACAAGCATCGTGTGGCTATGCCCGTTTCGTCGTCTTCCCTCTCCAGCTTGAAAAGCCAGCTCGTGCTCATGCGTCATGGTATCTTTTTGTCCCTTTAATGGATGATGTGGGAAATTGAGTTAGTGATTTTTGCAATGGTGGCATTAATTATCATGAATCTGTGTGTTGCGCGAGTGACTATTGTTGGTCAACTTCACAGGCAGTGCATCTAGTTCTTCATTGACTCTAAACTTGTGAATTGGCGAGGGAGCAGGTGAAAGCATGTGGAACGATTTGAAGCTTTTCACTGGGTATGTGATGCTTCGTCCTGTTATTTTAGGGTTTTCATGTGTAGATATTTTACTTAGAGTAAGGATGAACATCGCATCGAGCCATTGTATGCTAGAACGGAAACGGCATCGAAAGTTCGGTTTGTAGATTGCTTCCGTGCGAAAATCATACGGTTACCCTTTCAATTCCGAAAAACCCTAAATTTAGTCCTAAATCTTCACACTCGTAGCGTCGTCCAAAGGATCAATGTGGACGGGGTGGTTCGATTCAAATGTGGAGTTCCTGATGCGAGCAGTTCACATGTAGGGATGTAGACATTCCACTGACGGAGAAGGGAGTGACGGAGGCATTGTCAGGCGGGAGAGTTGTAAGCGAGATCGACTTTGACATCATTTTCACGAGTCGGCTTGTTCGTGCCAAGCAAACTGCCCTCATTGCAATGACGCAGGTTGTGAAGATTTCCGCAATCCAAATTCAGTGATTCAATCTTTTGGGAATGTACGTCAAGCACATCGTTGAATTTAACCAGTAAGCCGCTTCATGTGATTGTCGTGCAAGCAGAGTAGGTTCAAACGCGTACCGGTGTTGGTGAGGGGAGGATTTTATGGGAAAGGCAAGACTGGGGATGAGAATCGTATTCGTCTGCGTGACGCAGCTGCCAAGGCACTTGAAACAGCCTCATGTTGGATGGTGCCGGTTTACGCGGACCCTGCTCTTAATGAACGCTGCTACGGGGATCTGCAGGTTGATTCTGCCGCTTCGTTCTGTTACCATTTTTGCGAGTATGCGAGAAATTGAGCAGCATGGACAGGAGTCCGTCTGTAAGTTGGATAAAATTGTAGGTAGCACAGCTTTAAACTTGTAGCTCCTTGTTGCCTTGTAGAAATATGTTTTGTGTAGCAACATTTAAGACCCTTAGGAAGCTATGCATATTCTCTGAGACTTATGTCACTGTCGTTGTTTTTATCCTACTTTGATCGTTTCTGGCGATGTAGCTATATGTGCCGCTCTCCTAAGGTCATTACTCGTTGCAGGGTTTGAATAAAACGGCAGCTATTGCGGAGTTTGGGGAGGAAACTGTTACAAAATGGCGACGGAGCTATGACACGCGGCCTCCCAATGGGGAGAGCTTACAAGTGAGACATAGCAATAAATCCTCCTTAATCTTATGTACTTAAAATTGTATTCTAACTTAGGATGATTCATCCGAGAAGATGCCTTGAACTCCACTCAATGATACGGCCAATTTTGTCAACGTTGTGACTGCAGGATACGTACACAAGGTCAGTCGCCTTTTTTCAGGCAACCATTGAGCCGCGGCTGAAGGAAGGTCGCAATGTGTTCCTTGTGGCGCATGGGAATGTGCTGCGGTGTCTCATCTCTCATATTGCAGGCTACTCGGACCTGGAAATGCTTCAGCTGCAGGTATTCTCTGTTTACTTGGTCCCACAATCTAAATACCAAAACCTATGCTGAGAATTGGCACCATACTATGTAACATTGGATACAACGTGTAACATTTGAGTTTTCAAAAGTTTGGCCTTCATCTTCTTCGTCTTCTTTAAGCTCATCACTGCAACATAACCCATATGGGTCATAGGTGGTGATTGGTTGAAATACTTTAACACTAGGCATGGTCCTGCGCGAAGAGATATGTTATTTCGATTTTATCCTGATGTGGGCTGTCATGTGCAGATCTCAACCGCCTCGCCATATGCATATGTGTATAATGGAAATGAGTTTGCGGAATGTTGCATTCTTCCTCCCAAGCATGACCCGGACCATCCCGTAGGGATTATGTCTCTGGGCGTTTCATGTGTTAAAAAGGGCGAGCTGGATTCGCTAATTTGATTTTGGTCCCTTGCATCCTCTTCTCTGCATCACTACATTTTCTATTTTTAAATTATTTTGCAGACTTGGAACCATGTTTTATCTTATTATCATGTATCAAGAGGTCCTCATGTTGTGAGTAGTATTGCTGGTTAGGATTCGTCTAAGCGTGGTTGTTGGTATTTCTCAGCCCATGCCTGGCTACCTATACGTCATTCCATTTAATTTGACACTGCAGTGCTTGAGCTTGAATAAGCGCTCGATGGATGATACACAATGCTTGACATGATCACTCTGGGTATGATCCACACTGCTTCCATTGCCGTGTTACCTCCTAACACAACACATTTTCTACAAAATTGACGTGCAATGATATGTTGCATTCATTGCTTTGCTGAAGTTAGGCTTACAAAATGAGTCTTTGGTCAGTTACTGAAAGTAAATCTTAGATTTTTAATATAGTATCTTGAGCTGTGCACACGAAATTAGCCTTAGAAGTAATGTATTTTTTCTTTTTAATTCCAGACCCCGTGAGCTCCCCAACGGAGTTCTTTTCCGTGATAGATTGCTGGGTATTGCACGGTGATGATCCATTATGGTCCCTTAAGAATTCTGACGCGCAACCTGACCTTCGCGGACTTGCCAGCCGAGTTGAATCCGGGCCTATTCATCGGCTTGAACACTGCTCAAACATCCGATTTCCACGATAGTTGTTTCCATTCTATTACATGCTAACCCCTAATTTTCACTTAAACATCAACATTCATCAACACGTATTCGGTATTCACCTACATTATATATGCTAGGGGCAGCGTAGAAAGTCTTCAATGACTAGGTATAATCGAATGGCCATAGAGGAATAGGTACTCAGGTGGTTCCTGGTACTGGATGCACAGAAAATCCAAATGGCTGCCCATACCAAAACATCTTAATAAAAATCTGCTGCCTAATTGCCCAAAAATGATTTATCTTTCTTTTTTGAAACCCTAGACCCTAAACCCCTACTGGAAATATTTTGGAGCAACCCAACAATTGGTTTCCCATCATTGGGTAACCGGCATCCATCCCTATCGACACGCATGAATGAAGGGGTGCGAGCTGCGTACCTGTTCTGCGCATTCGGTGATCGAACGTTGCCTGCGATCCGGCATCCCCAGATTACTATTGCAATGCTATTCACCTCACTTGCCATGTAAACGCACCCGGGCCAGCAGTCACAGCAGCACTAGATTCGGAGTCTACAGATGAGCAGCCAACAGCAACAATGTTCACCCAGCTCACTGTTGAATTTACACGCACCCGCAATTATGGACTTGACCATCGTCAGTGTAGTGAACCGTAGTTTGTTTATATTTACAATTTTAGCTTACTAGTGTTGAGTACGAGTGAAAGACTTCTGCCACCCTTGATAAAGGTTGGCATCTAAATTTAATTTCGTCGTTCAAGTGAAGTGTTGGAACTGTGATTCGAATATATCAAAATTAACGCATCAAAAGTGAAGCCAATTTTGAGAGACAAATCAAAAGGACTTGGAAAGCAAAATGGAAGTGCTTCCACAGAAGACAACAGAAGCATGGTTTTAAAATACCAACACAGAAAAATGAATGAACATCACAATTCGGAAAAAAATAAAAAAATAAAAAAACAAATCATCCAGTATCTGTAGTAGAGAACTTATCCAAATACACTTTCACAGCCATACGACGAGTAAAGCTTAGTCAATGTGAGCAACCCTAGCCTACATCATGTGCAAGGCTACAATAAAAGGTAATGCGATTACTAATGAATACAATACAATTCTGCGCTACATTTTCAGTCCACCGGAACTTCCACGTCCATTTTCAGGTCTGCCTTTCCCAAAACCTGAAAGAAGAGAACAAAGGTAAGCTATCAGACATTTCAGACATTCAAAACTGTCAGTAACCAACACAACAGAGGGTTTTCATGCACTTGGTTAAGCCAAAAAACACCAACGGTAAAGCAGGGCCAAAAGACGCAGTCAAATGCTGACAAAGCAACTCAATACAAGCAAAGTATTATCTCCCCAGCCATAATCATGAAAGTAATCATTATCTGTTTTAGGTTCAAAATAAACCTGCTTAAAATCTAGCAGTGTTAGAGCTGAATCCACCGTGTATCCAGCTTGTTCAAGAGCCTGATTCAAAACCGACTGCCAGAACAACATGTACCGTTAGAAACCGAAGAAGAGTCTACAAAGAAGTTCCACTCAAAATAAAAATCTATCACTCACTGAAAGCCTTCAAAACATGCCAATCCAACAAAACACCATTTTGCTCTCCTATCATTGTTTTTTTCAATTGTGATTCATGAGGTCCATCTCTTCGGCAACACAAAGAGGCTGTCGATTTGCAATCGTTCTAAGACTACAGTAGTAAACCAGTAACTACACATGACGTTATAAAAAGGTTTTGATGTTCTAACCTGGCGCTGCTCATCCGTCAAGAAATTCCCCGATAGATCGCGTAGAACTTGCAACATATCGCTACTGGTTACTTTGCCATTTCCATCAGTGTCATACACCCTGAAAATAACTGCACAAACGCTGCTTTTCATTACATAAATTGAGAACACTGATGTGCTTCAACCTTCGCTTTCAACGCCGTCGCTCATCTGCACTGAGCTATTAGTTTAGGCATTTATGAAATGGAACGTAGTAATGAATAATTTCCCTTTATTTGACCTCACACATACTACTGTAGCATGTGCTTAATTTTTCTGCAGGCTGAGTGAGATGTTTACACTTCAATTTGTCGTCTTTCGTCGCACGTGCACTAAAGGCTGAAAGCAGAGCTATAAATTCCTTGAAATTCAATCCTTCCAGCATCTTCAACAACCTCTGCAAGAAAGTGACTCAACATCCATTAACCAATAACACTAATTGATTCTTGCAATCATTAACAAGCGTAATCTGGAGAGTGGGCATAAAGCAGTAGTCAGATTAAATGCTAATATGAAGTGAAATTGTCGGGCTGTACCTGGCAGAGAGGATTGACAGCAAATTCGGGCACGCCCATGAACTCATCAGCAGAGATAAAACCCTTGCTAGTACGGTCCAACTGGCAAAATCGCTCATATAGGGCAATTATCTCTCGCTGCGAATCTGGCAGCAAGAGTGCATCATAAGATCAACATCATACCAAATCTCTCTGAAGTGCACTTCTTTTGATTGATCAACTCAAAATTATTCACCAGACTTATCCCAAGAAGGACTTACAAAGGTTGCTGCAATGATTCTGGAGATCCTCCAAGTCGTACTGAGTAAGAAGCGACGAGGAGTTTCCCATAACTGCTTTGAAGATGTCCCGCACCTGGCTCGTGCACCTTCGAAATGACTCACCTCGCTCTTGCACCTTCGGAATGATCCGCCTCGCTCTTGCACCTAGGGCGAGGTCACTGCTCCTTGCTTCTAAGGGCTCGCAAGATTCGCAGGGCCGTGGGGGTCCCAGCGAGCACCCGTGGGCGGGGCTGGGCGGATCCTACGAAGATGGGTGGGCGGGGCTCGCCAGCGTGGCGTCCCCTTTCTTCGTCCGGGCAGGCGGAGCCCCAAGCCGAAAAGTTTTCTCTGTGCCGCGCTTCTTGGGGTAAGGGGCGCCTCCTTCAACCCCATTTCACATGTCTCATCTCCGCGGTATGTCTTGATCGAGTTGGGTTTCGTTGTTTTTCGGATGATTGATTGGGTGATGGAACCGTGATCATGTGCGTTGTTTGCGTGTCTAGGATTAGAGTTGGAGAGGGGGATGCCCACTTGTGGGTTCTTGGTGCAATCGAACACTGACTTGGTGATGCGTTCCGAGACTGCGCGTGCGTCACGTTTAGAAGGAAGGGCTGTTTACCTCTTAGCTTGCTTGGAATTTTCTCCAGCAGAATACGCAGTCTGCAAAACCAGAATCAATACTTAAATTTCTTCTATCCCATTGCCTGCGAAAATTCCACTGCACACACTTTGAGCCACCTCTTTGTCGGCATTCGGAATTGGTTGTTGTTTGAGAGGGCATCCTTTGCAATTGAGTGGAACCTTTAAGGGTTTCCGGTGATGATCGTATTTCATTAAAAGAGCTTTTGGTCTGCTCTGGTTTTTATGAGCAAAGCTGATGAAGAGATTATATCTTTTCACGAGTTTTGTATTTGTGCCAGCATTTGAATGTTTGTACCCAGAAATGAAGTACTAGCCACGTGTTTTTTCAAAATTTACTGAGGATGATATTACAAGGTAATCTCAAGCAGAAGTAAATTCTCAACTTCTTGTAACTTTTTATCGAAGACTATGCAAAGTGGCGTGCCGGCACAGGCACATCGTGCTCCGCAAAGCTTCACAGCACTAAAGATTCTTCCTAGCACCTTGGTCTTATGTGCTGAATCATTTCAGATTTATTGTGCAATTCTGATTGCTTGGAAGTTATTAAAGAATACTAGGAAAACCATGGACCCAGGTGAAGACGAGAAAATGAAAGGCTGGTAATAATGTGACATTACTTCCGGGCCACTACTCTGTGCGAACCCAGCTTGTGCAAGATGTGATCAGCTGTTATGGTAGTGGACGCCGCATTATCGTCTTTACCAAGACAAAGTATGGCACCTCAGAGCTCGCTGGCGCTCTGAAGTGTGGTACTGAACGAGCTCCGTGGGGATAATCCTCAAAATTAGCAAGAAGTCACACCTCAGAAAATCAGCAGAAGCCCTTGGGTTTTACAAAACAGCTGCTTGTAAGCCTGTCGATCGACCTCTTTTCTTTAAAAAAAAAAAAAAAAAAAAAAAATGTTAACTAATGCGACACCTGAATTCTTTCAAAACTCTTAGCATCGTTGTACAATGACTACAAATGAGCTGATGTACTCGGTCTTTTGACAACCTTATTAGTAGTATAATTTGACACCAGACCCGCTGTGAAGGTACAAAGTTATCGCATGCTTTCGATTATCAACACCTGTGATACATAGATTTGCTGAGACAACATGCCCACTTATTTGTAGAGCGAGATGAGCGAGATGGTGCTCTCCAACGGAAATAGGAGGTACCGATATTCAATGTAAGAGTAGGTAAGCTGAGATAATATCATACAGTTGTTGTGAAGGTTCCTGATCCTTTGGCCTTAGGGGCTCCGTTAGTTGGTCCCAACATTTGTCTCCATCAAGGGAAGCACTGCAATGACGGTAGGAGCAGCTATGCAGACAAGGGATAAACCTTTGTATGATTAATCCAATGGGGATAAATCATGATATTCATGTAGAGAAACAAGAGATGCTAGTAAAATCTGTTGTTGGAGAGATTGCTGGAGAGGAACAGAGAGGTATTAATAACGAAGTCCAAAGGAGGGCAAATAACCGAAGCATGGCTCAGTGTGTAGAGGAACAGTAAAGCCAACTTGCATACGTTGTTAGAAGTTAATAGTTTTAATTAAAGAGCGATGCCATACGTGAACAGTGGCGGTCGATGAAGGGCTATTTAGTTGACCAAAGAATTACAATTATCGTAACAGCTAGAAAAATACGCATGAAGTATTGGTTTGGACCAGACCTGAACATAAATGCACACACAAATGAAGCAAGTTCGCGTGAATATCTTTTAACCAAACTCTTATTTTCAGTATCATTACTATTTCACGAAGGTGTACCTCATAAAATACAAGTTAAGAAGTGCTTAAAGGTATCTTCAAGCAAAACCCATTCTTATGATGAGGAGCTAGATATATCTGAACTTCTAAGAATTACATCAGACTGGCTATAGCAACAAAGCACGAAAGAACAAACAAGTGAAGCAGAAAACTTGAAGACGACATGCAACACAAAATGAGCTTTTTGGCTTCGGTTATGATTATGACAATCGTGACGTCATAATGATAAGCATTGGAAAGCCAAGTAGTAGACATTCAAATTAGCATCAAACAGACCCCCAACAATTTAGAGCAAGGAAAATAGAGAAGAAAAGTTACAAAAAATAAACCTAGCTACCAAGAAAAAAAAATATGCTACGCATTGGCTTCTAACTATACTTGTTGGAATGCAACGTATGTATCTTGCTTACCAATAAAAGTGACAAACAACAGAAATACAAAGGATACAACTACGTTGTAATAATACAGTTCATGCCTACTAGCAATTCGTTGTTGTATTGCATCTCAATATGCATCCCTCTGAATAAGATTGGGACGTCATCTGGTAACTCATACTTTATCGTCATGAAACCACCACCGTGTTTCCTTGGGAGATCTGCCATTTCGGCATTTCCTCACATAACGATCGTCATCAGGTGGTCTGGCCTGTTCAAGCAACGAGTATCAGTAGTCCAATCGAATACTTAAATTGCACATGGTAAATCAAAATTACTTGAAGGAAATTCATTTGACGCGAATGTAAAATAAAACCCGTGCAACAAGTTAGAAAGCAGGACACTAAAAGAACAGTCCCCATTTTTACATGCGATATACTGAAAATTCAATACGTGGAGGCTAGTGTGGAAACTTTAAAAAGTACCTTCACAGTTGAACTAGACAACATGGACAGGATGCTGATGCAGATAGAACTCACGGTCATTGCTGGTGACCAAGAGTCATAAAGAATATCTGGTGAAACGAAGCCAAGTTTGCAGAAATTAGTCTTAATTAAACGCAACATGTTAAATTCAAGTACACAGAGATAGTTTTCGTTAAGTTGGGAACTCGTCGCGTAAAATTATTCAGGTGATTAGCTCCTACGTAGACCCACATGTGACGATGAAATCAATAGGAAACCTTATAAACAATACATTATACGTCACAGTCTCATCCCTGTCTTGCCAAACGGAAGTATTTTAGACAAACTGGGCATCTCACACATGTACATACCCGCTCTAGTGCTGACATTTTGATCTATGTGAAGAGATCGGTATGACCACTTCTTGACCACTGCTAAACGTTCTGCTTAAGGCAGCAGAGAAAACTGTAAAAGATAGTAGAAGCTACTAAAGATTTCTGTGCCTCAGCAATTGGTAAGTTACCAATTGCCGCAGCACTCAAATACGAAACAAAAACTGATGGAGTCTACAAGATCCGACAAAGTAGAACTCACCAAGACATATATGGCCATTGCTGTAGATGTGCGGGTGCAAAGGAGGCACGTGCATGAATATGACCTGCACGTACAAGTATCAGAAAGTATGCAAACGTATACACCATTAGAAGATATTGACCAGCATATACAGAGACTGTCCAGATCCAGACGGAACATGGTTTGGCAACGTTTTGTTCACGCAGATTAGGCCACAACTGTTACTTACACGAGATTTGAGCGTCGGTAGCAGTAGATTTATGCAGTTTTGCAATAATCCCAACAAAATGACACAGTGATCTAGGTGATGTAATAGGATTGAAGGAACAAGAACACTGATACCTGGGGTGCTTCCATCGGATAATGTTCTGGGAAATCAACTTGCAATTGAAACGTTTCTCCCTCGTATAATGTATCAGCAGCTCCCTGCACCTCGATTACCCATCTGGAGACAGACGATTAGGATTACCATGCTTGATGAACAATCCATCAAGCCGGCTATCGAAACAATACAAGGTGCCGTGGACCTTACGCACGAACGTAGAATCTCAGCAATTCATCATATAGTAATAGAATTACCTTTGCAGATTGTCGGTGACTTTATGCTTGAATCCACACGGGGCATTCACTTGCCACTCGGTCAGCTCTTTCTGCAACCGATTTGCAGCAATCCGACTGAGGACCTGCACCACCCACCATGCACCAAAAACAAGAGAATTCGTCACAAAGCAGTCCTAAAAACCAGCACTAAGAGAAACCCTTCCCAAGACGAAGCAAATTCAGCCATCAGGAAGAGCCTAGGAATTTAGGGCTGCGAGATGTCACTACAATTGCAACACCAAACAAGTAGCGAAGTGGAGGAGGAGGAGAAGGAGGAGGAGGCGGAATTAGCCTGAAAAGCACCTTCTCCTTTTGGCCGTATCCGGATGAGCTCATGATGGTTAACTCCTCCCACAGCGATGGCAACGAGAGGGCTGATGATTCGAGGCGATTGGGAAACCTTGATTGGTGTCTGGGGAACGGAGCGTAAGGAGAAGATGATGATCCCACGATCACAACCAAAATGGCACCGACGCGGAAAACGCAAAATCTTGAGGGGAAGGGCGAAGAGAAGGAGAAGGAAGTGGGAGAGAGAGAGAGGAAGAGCGGACGAGGGAGGGAGGGAGGGAGGAAGAGGCGGTACAAGGCCACAGGGGCGAAGGGGAGGAGGGGTCGCATGGGGAAGGGGGAAAGGGGCACGGGGGGCATGGGAAGGGAAAGGGGACCTGGGGAGAGAACGAGAGAGGGGAAGGGAGGGAGAAGGGAGACTGGCCCCTCTCTCCCTCTCCCCTCCCTCTCCACTCCCTCCCCCCTCCTGGAATCTGACAAGAATATGTAATTAAGTTAAACTCAGCACAATGGGTCTTTAGAAGGCTTTAAGCAATACTTTACTCTTTCCCTAATTGGTGTATTTATTGGCTTTGATGATAGCTCTCACTCTTTTATTTTTCTTAATATCACAGTTTTCTAAATATTTTAAATGTTCCAAACATCTATATTTGATCCAAGAGTTTAAAAAATTAATCAACTTTGTAACTAATTGTGTTACTAAATATTTAAGATTTTTTATTTATTAAATACATGATTTACAATTAATTTCCAAAAGTGAAACATAAAAAATTAGATAGATTGAATATCAAGTAAGAGTTCAAGGTAGAAACTACTCATATTTACTAAAGATAGACATTATCTACAATATAAATAACTTCTATTTTTACCAGTCTAACTTTTTTAATAATTAAATGGTTTTTACATATTTCTAAATAAAACTTTTCTTGATTTCCAACTTAAAATTTTGGTCCACATTTTCTTTATTGACTTGTGTCAATTTTATATTGGTTTTGAACTTTTAAAAAATTAAGTATAAACAATAATTTTATTATAAAGATAGTAAGGGCTATTATTATAAGCAAACTTTGCCAATGGCTAGAAATCTACCAAATCATCTCATTTTTAGTTTATACTACAATAATGATGTTGCTTCAAAACTAACTTATGTATTTAGTTTTTGATCACTAGTTTCAAGATTATTTTACTATGAAAAGATTAATCTTGATGATTAAGATTTAAAATTATCCTCTTTAGAAATTGGCTTTAAATTGAAATCCTCAATTTATGATAATACCTCTTTAAAGTCTATAAAAATAACTAATATAATTAAAAAAAGAAAAGAGAATATGATATTATTTTATTAAAAATATTCTTATGACATAGAATAGAATAAAATAAAATAAACCATTTTGGTAAAGCAGCTAACTAATATTCAAATTGAGTTGTTATCCTTATAATGCTTGTAACAGGAACCATTAATATAGTTGATTGTAGAACTTTTGGAATAGAAAGCAATTGAAACATATTATGTGATTAATAAATTAGAAACTTAGCTACTTCATATGTATTTCAAGACTAGTAAAGTTCTTCACTACCTTTGACATTGTCTTCACCAATAATCTCTTGGTATTAACTTTATTATTTTACTAAAGCCAAAATCTCTTCAAAAAGAAAAGTTGCAATTTGTTAAAAAAAATATATACAAGTTCTAAAAGAATGTATAATAATTTCTTAAAATATATTAACCCATCATTAAATTCAAAATCATCATTTGTATGATTATGAAGATGTTTTTTGATTCTCTAATGCTTTAAATTTGATATAAATATTTTGATTAAATCTAATTATGATGTGTAGAATAGGTAAATAAACTTTGTGGTAAGTTACTGCTTGGTTATTGATAACCTTGAGAATTAGACTGATGGTTAGGCAGTTTAGTTGGTAACAGTAGGTTGTTAGTGGAATAAATGGTTAGGAATTCAAAGGGTCATAACTTTTGGAATCCGTTGGCCGACATTCCATCTTTTGGTAGAATAAAGAGGTTGAGGAAAGGAGATCGGGGCCAGACTGTGATAGTCGTAAGCCGGGGCAAGCTTGGTGCTACCTCTTTTTGTTTCTTTGTTGTTGACGAGTAATGGATAGTTTTTGAATATTGAGAAGTTAGTCTGGAGTGCCAGACTGTGAAAGTCATAAGCCGAGATATTGAATTCTGTGTGATAAATTGAGAAACTAAATACAATAGGTAAGTGAGAGATCAGTAATTGAATATATATATATATATATATATATATATATATATATATAAACTACAAAGAGAGTAAGTGGGAGATGAATGGATAAGAATATAGAAGTATTGTTGAATTGATAGTGGTAAAATGGATTATGGATTGAATTAAGACAAAAGTAGTAAGCCTTGGTGTTTTGTAGTTTGATAATTGATTTCAGATAGGCAGAGTACAGTCAATCATGACACTAACAGACCCAATTCATATAACCAATCTTTCCCCGTATTTGAATCCACCTATATTAGTTCAATTGCTTTGGTATATTGAAGTTTGAATACAACAAGAACAAGATTTTGGTGTCGCTGCCGGGGAGATAATAACAAAATGAAATATTAGAAATTCATTATATAGAAGATGGAATTATATGTTGAATGAGAACGTGAAAAGAACCAGTTTTAGGATTACAAATATGTGAATTATAATTCAAGGCAGTATTGATTTTGTAAAGAAGAATGAAAGATTATAAGTAATAATCATGAAAGAGATGATTATCAAAGAATTAATTGACAAGCAAAAGAAAGACAAGAGCAATTATGCATAAGAAATCTCCTATGGGAACGACAAAAAGGAATTGTAAGTCCAAATAAAAGCAAAGGAAGAAAAATTCAAATTCAAATAGCAAAGAGATCAGTGATAACACCAATGGCCGCGGGAGTGCCAGAAGTACCAATTGCAGTAGAAATGGGAGCAGTAGGAGACCGAACTACAAGTATGGCACCATTACCTACTTTAAGTGGTTTGTCGGGCTTTGATCCCGATCACCATATATCTCAATTTTTGACAACCTGTGTGGCTAATAATGGTAGAAATGAAGACATTTGGTTGAGATGGATGCCAACAACTTTAAAAGATACAGCTTTTGAATGGTATATTCGGCAACCAGTGGATAGATTTTTCAATTGGAAGGCCTTGAGGAACGCCTTCCTAACCCATTTTAGACCAATTGGATTTGAAGATCAGCTTCATGAAAGTTTTATAAATAGTAGGATATTTGTGGAAGAATCCGTAGAGTCCTATTATGGCCGGATCACGGATATACTTTGTAAATGGTCAAATAATCAAATGCCAGATGCATTTATTTTGTCAATATTAATTAACGGTTTGTATCCACCAGAATTGAAAATGTTTGTAAAAGAGGCTCGACCAGCTACGGTAGATGCATCGTTGGCACGAGCAAAGGTGTGGGAAGAATGTCATTATGACCAATTGTTTACAATGGGGGGCCACAATGATTCTAAGTTCAGGAAGCCAGCAAATACAACCGAGAAATGTGTCGATGGATAATTATCCACAAATGGCTGATTCCAACATGAAGTATGTTATGTTATAAAAATCAATTAATGCTACACCAATCCAAGCAATAGCGCCAATAACAATGACACCTTATTTTACATTGACAACCTATCAACAACCAAAGTTGCTCACAAGTGCGACTGTTAAAGATCCAAATGAAGCCTTGTTATTAAATCTAATAAAGAAGTTGGAAGAATTGGCCAAGAATTTGGCTAAAGACAAGGAGAAACGACATAAGCCTTATAATACGAGACCCAATGTATGGTGTAATAATTGTAAGGGACAAGGTCATTTTGATACAAAATATCCATCACTGAGACAAACGAGTGTTCAATGTACATTTTATAAAAGAAAGCACCCTACTCAAAATTGTTGGCATTTACAAAGGCAACAACAGTTCAATAACCAGACAATACAGCCAACTCAATGGGATGTTAATCAAGTACAGACTGGAAATATGGGTGGTTGAAATAGTAATCGCTCAAATCGATCTAATCATGGCTTTGGGAATTTTCAAAATACTAATTATAATCTAGTTTATGGAAGAAAGATGCAGAACTATAGAAATAATCAAGGGGATAATCTCCAAACTATACCAACTCAATAGTCCAATTCTCGACCAGTAGCAACTGGTCAGCTAAGATCATTTACTATGGCTACCTGAAATGGACCTAGTAGATATATTCCAGTGGAGACTCCAAGTGTACCTGACAATATGGGTTGAAAATCACTACATTGCTACCGGTACTGGAAAATCGGTCATTATGCCAGTGAATACTCTAATCCAAGGTTTATAGACGAATATACTCTAGTATGTGGAAATTGAAAGCAATCGGGTCATTTTTATTATCAATGTAATGTTCCATTTAACCCTAATAATCATGATTAAGATATTCAATCGATTATGCAAATTGTAGAGGAAAAAAATAATAGAACACAAGAATCACTAATTTATTGGATAGAAGTAGTCCAAGCTATCCATACAAGAAGTCAGAAAAAGGGAAAAGGACCAATTCAACATTTGGGTGATCTTGAAGCGAAGGGCCAATTGGACCCAATTACAGGGCCATGCAATCTAGATCCTGAAATGGGCCCCTTACTCAGTGTAAGACCTGAATCGGTTGTGCACCCCAATGAAGTACCAATTACGAAGGCTTCAATTTCGTGTCAAGCTGTTTCATTCTCTACATAGTTTCGAGAAACATCCTTTTCATTTAAAGATCCTCTAAGAGGCATGAATTCTAAAGAACCAATATCCATCTAATTGGGAGAACAATCTTATCCGTTGAAAGAATCGATTGTACAGGCTCCGTCAAATTTAGTTCCAATAGCTTTACCAATTTCTAATATAGAGAAAACCAATTTACTTGCATTGGTGTCTAAGACCGGGAAGAAGAAACGGACATTGGAAATTACCACTAATACAGAACCATATGATATTCTAAAAGATTTGGGCACCATACAATCCACGATCTCTATGAAGCAACTATTGGCACTAGCACCTCAATGCCAAACTATCTTGAATTCTTCATTAATTCGTCACAGATCTTGAAATAAAGAAATTCGAGAAGTATGTTTGAATCCCGATCTAGGTGCACCAATGATTGATGTCTCAATTGATGGAGTATTATTATCAAAAGTGCAAGTAGACGAAGGATCTAGTATAAATCTTATGAATGCCGCTGCAATAGAGGAGTTGGGTTTGAATCACTTATTGCCTACTACAGTAGTTTTGAGAATGGCTAACTCCAGTCAAGTTAAACCTATAGGTATTTTACAAAGTA